TCGGCAGCCCCCAGTCCCATCTGGAGGCCCTGTGGTGGCCGTCGTGGGGAGGGGGTGCAGAGAGGTGGTCCACGCAGGCCCAGCAGAACTGGCCCTGTGCTGAGATGTGCTCTGTGCCCTGACGGTGCCTCCTGGTGGGAGCCCCATGGGTGGGGTGGCACTGTCTCCTGGAGAAGCAGCAGCTGGGCCACCCTGATGTCCTCTGTCCTCCCAGGAGACCCTGTGGCTGTGTGGCTCTGTGCCAGAGAGGGCATCTACGTGGTGGCTTTTGGTACTTGCCTTGGCCTCCTGGACTGGGAGACGGGGCAGGTGGAGTGGGCGGCCTGGCTGGACCATGACAAGCCCCACAACATGTTCAACAATGGGAAGGTGGACCCCACTGGGAGTTTTGAGGCAGGTGAGCTGCTGAAAGGACTGGCTGTGGCCTAATTAGCCAAAGGTGGCCCAGGCCACCTGGAGAGCCTCTTGTCATGGCAGGTGCCAGGTCGGTGGGGACCTCAGGAGCCCTCCCCAGGCTGCTGGCAAGCGGCACCCGAGGCCATGCAGGTGCTGGGCAGCCCACAGGTTCCCTCCTGCTCCAAAGCCCATGGCTTTCATGTAATTCTTCCTGGGTCCCTGCCCAGAGAGGACCCTGGGAGGGTTGAAGCCACCAGGGTGGGGCAGCGGCCAGGGATGCTCGCCAGAGGCCATTCACGTGCAGCTGAGGGCCCTGCACATCTGCCTGAGCAGGCCTCTTCCCAGGTGGAACATCTCTGGGGTCCCCCCTTCRCCCAGCACAGAGGCTCATTCACAGATGCTGCCTGAGGGCCATCCTGCCTGCTGTCCCCCAACCGAGGGTGACCACAGCTCTCTGCACAGCGGGTCTGTGTGGGGTGGACAGGGCAGGGTGGGGCACTGCCCACTGACCTTCCACTCTTTCCAGGCACCATTCCAGAGGTGTCCGCTCCAGGAGTGTGGGAGCTGTGGCAGGGCTCCCTGTATATACTCTACGCTGACCGCTCTGTGATCAGACAGCTGGATCAGCTGGGCATCCCAATGGGCTGGACTGGTCCCTGGACCACCTCACTCTCTACCACATGGACAGCCTGGTCTACTCTGTGCAGGCCTATGACTACAACATGCAGACAGGAGGCCTGGGTAGGGGCCTCCCTGGCAGTCCCCCACGCCCTCCCCAGGTGAAGGCCTCCATGGCCAGCCCCCCACACCCTCCGTGAGGTATGAGCCTGTTGCAGTAATTCACTTGCAGGTCAGCATGGGAAATGAAAGAAAAAGAAGAAGCAGAGCAAGCAAAGCAGCAGCAGAAAAAAAGTCCTTTATTGTGTACAAGCAATCTTTTTATAGTATTGTGAACAAARAAGGCAGCCTTCCAAYATCAATAAATCAKGTCTTTCAGSTAATTAAWCATAGCATACAGAAGTTTTACTTTCTAATCAGAAGTGACCCGCTTCTCATGGCTAATCTATTCTCGGCCTGGAGTATGTTGAGCTCTGCTCTTTGTTTAAGAACAGATAAAAAATTTTTCTCAGCGCCCTCCAAGCCCACTTGGCAGAACATCCCGTTTGCAGGCAAGTCCTCCCAAGGTCAGTAGACACCTCGCTTTCAAGCATGTCCGCTGTTACTTATCTATACCTTGACAGAATATCCCGTTTGCAGGCAGACTCCATCAAGGACAGTAATAGTAACGCAGTTACATCTGATTCTCTACATGAGCCTTCATGGCCAGCCCCCCCATACCCTCCCTGGGGTAGGAGCCTCTATGCCAGCCACCCACACTCTCCCCAGGTGGGGTCCTCTGTGGCCAGCCCCCCACGTCCTCCCTGGAGTAGGGGCCTCCGTGGCCAGCACCACAAGCCCTCCCTGGGTGGGGCCTTCCGTGGCCAGCCCCCCACACCCTCCCTGGGGGGGAGCCTTTGTGGCCAGTCCTCCGACATCCTCCCAAGTCCCCTCCTGGGGTCCCAGATGCACCACCAGGTCTGTAACTCCCTCCCATGGTTGAGGCCATGCAACATGATCCTCCTGGTCTGGGCTGTGAGGGGCCACGTGCATTTGTCCTGCCGCAGCAAACCCATGGCTGGTGTGCCAGCTGGAGCCAGAGCAAGGAATGACAGATGGGCTGTGCATGGACACCACGGGGACACTTTGGGTGGCCTGCATTGACGGAGGCAGGGTTGTCCGCATGGACCCTGACACAGGTGTATGCACAGGGCAGTCGGTCAAGGAGGGGCCATGGGGTGCTCTGTGCTATGGTGTTCAGGGTCCAGGAGTGGGAAGGCAGCACCACATGCTTGTTCAGCTATAGGGCGACATGTGCAGATGGCTGGAGTGCCAGGATGGCCGCTCAGCACTTGGCCAGTGTAGGGAACACTGGGGCTGATGTAGAAAATGACCACAAACCAGGGTTGAAAACCACAGGACCTTTTCCTGTCCCACCCTGGAGGGTGGAGGCTGGACCAGGGTCAAAGGCTGAGCTCCCTGCACAGGCTCCAGGGAAGCTCCTCCTGCATCTCCCAGCTTCTGTGCTCCAGGTGGTCCTGGGCTGGTGGTCCCTCAGTCCAGTCTCTGCCTCCATCTCCATGGGGCTCCTCCTCCTTTGCTGGCTGAGGAAACCCACCATCTAATGCAGCTCAAGCCAGGCCTCCGTCCTTGGGTTCGGGCCAGGCTCAGCTCTGGTGGGGCACTCCCCGCCTGACTGCTGTTCACAGCTGACAATAAATGTGGCCACCTCAATTTCATCTCTGCAGCTGCTGCCCTGGGATGTTGTCCCCCCACCCCCAGGACTGCCCCATGCTCTAGTGTCACCCAGCTTCAGGGTCTGTGTCCTCTCTTTTGTCTCTTGGGAGAACACGGCCATTGCATGAGGGCCACCTGACTCAAGAGGAGCCCATCTCAGGACCCTTCACTAACGACCTCTGCAGTGACCCGGTTACCACACCAGGTTCCACTCACAGGTTCTGGGGTGCAAATGTGGACAGGACTCACCTCTTATAATGGTGTCCAGCTCCCTCCAGGAGCCTGGCCTCTCCAGCTCCTGGGCTCCAGGTGGCCCTGCTGACCCCTGCAGTCCATGAGTCAGGGCAGAGTTGGGGATCAAGTGCAGCAGGTGCCAGGGAGAACCAGTAGGCCCAGGGCCCCACTGGGGAGTGGGCACAGTCAGGCCACCTTTGTTCCTGCAGCAGGCGGGTGGCTGGGCTTCAGGGACATACCTGAGCTTTACTCACAGGGATGCGGCTGTGCACCTTGGAGATGCCAGTGTTCAGGGTGACATCCTGCTACTTCCAGGGTAGGGGGGCTGACTACCCCGGCTTGTGCGTGACCTCTGCAGTGGATAGCCTGAGTCCAGAGCAGCTGTTGCTGGAGCTGCAGGCAGGACACGTCTTCAAGGTCAGTAGGGTCTCCCTGCCAGGGTCAGCTTGGCTCCGAGCCATGTCTGCTCAGCCAGGTGTAACAGATCTTAACCTCAGGGACCAGAGCATGCTTGGCAGCATCCATGGGGACCTCTGTCCACCTGGAAAACAGCCCTCCGGAGGCCCCATGTGCCCTGCTGAGCACAGAACATTTACGGGAAGTTTAGGAAGCTGGCGTGGCTGGCACTGCCGGGACTCACCTCCACCCTCTCCTCCTGCAGGTCCCGGGCCTGGGGGTGAGAGGCCTTGCGTCCTGCCACTTCGCTGGCTGAGGAACCCCACCGTCCAATGCAGCTTGAGCCAGGCCTCCATCCCTGGGGTTGGGCCAGGCTCAGCTCTGGTGGGACGCTCCCTGCCTGACTACTGTTCACAGCTGACAATAAAAATGGCCACCTCAATGTCATCTCTGCAGCTGCTGCCATGAGATGTGGCAGGACTGCTCCATGCTATGTCCCGTGTCACCCAGCTTCAGCTTGTAATGGCCCCGTGTGTTCTCCAAGGTCCCCACGGGTCACCTGCTCTCTCCAGAACATGTGGCCACACTGGTATCTCTGAGGTTGGCCTCTCTGCCTCCACTTGGTGCTGGGTTACTGAGAGCAGGAACCTGAGCATGGGCTGTAGCTGTGCTGGACGTGCACAAGTCCACTGCTAGGGATAGAGCCAGACATCAGGTGCCTTCACAGCACTGGGCGCCCAGTGCCTTTACTTCCAAAACAGCCTATTTACCCCTGAAAGGCACCCGCACTCCAGCAGTGACCCAGTCCCCGGCCCAGCCCTGGACCTGCCCACTGCCTGTGTCTGGATGGCCTGCTGTGGATAGGACCTGCCCACAGAGTCCACACTGACTGACCCTCTGTATCGGCTTCTCTCACCGAGCCCCATGTCTCAAAGTCTGTCCTACTTGCAGCACGGGTCAGAGCTGCAGTCCTTTTTAGGGCTGAGTAATATTCCATCATGTGGATGGACTCGTCCTGTTCCCCCATTCCTCCTCAGCGGACACTTGGGTCACTTTTCCCTTCTGACCCTTGTGCATGGTGCTGCTGTGAATAGTCACACACAAGTTTTCATTCCAGCATTTGTTTCTGGGTCTTCAGGGACATACCTAGGCTGGAGGTGCTGGTGGAATGGGAACTCCCTGCATAACCGTGTGAGGCCCCTGCACACTGTCCCTTCACAGGTGGCTCCATGCTGCCCTCCCACAACACACATGCTAAGAGTGATGTAGAACTTTGAGTCCCCGACTCCAGAGGGCTCAGCACAGAGCTCGCTGGAGGTCCCCACACAGGTAACCTGCAGGTGCAGATAGCTCTGCTTGCCAGCTGCCGGGAGTCTCTGTCCTGGGGTCCTTGTGGTCATGGTGGCAGAGTGCAGCTTGTCCTGTGGGCAGGGCTGGGCAGTGCTGTGACCAGAAGGGGTGACCTGGGGCTCGAGCCTCCATCTGGGAGTGCCACAGGAAACCTATTATATTTGTTTTAAATCTATAATAATGATATTAATTATAAATGTCACAGTACAATTATTATATTAGCTTTGAATACTATAGTATGGCTATCATATTTATATCAAAGGTCAAAGTGCAGCTGAACACAAAATTAGTCAGGCAGTCAGTAAAGATAGGTAGATTGAGTCAGATCAGTCAGATCAGAGGCCAATTACAGTTAGTCCCAGATGTTGGAGAGGGATTGAAATGCTAATGCCTTCAGAGCCCTTCTTCCACACTTATCAAGGTAATCTGCCCCTGCTCCAACCTGTTACTAAGGTAACCTGGCCAGGAATTGTCCCTCCCTAGAGGGGGTTGTAAAAGTTGCTAGTTAATTCACCCTGGGCCCCCTTCCTGCCCAAATGCTCCACTTTGGCCCCTCCACCCCATCTGCTTCTCACCTTTTGGCCATCCCACTGAGCATCTCCTGGGCCTAGTCATGTATGCAAGAAGGAAAGAGATAAAGGGAAGACAGCAAAAGAACAAAAGAAGCCTAAGACATATAAAAAGGCTCTTGGTGATAGAGGTGGGAGTGAAAGGGAGGGAGAAGGGGAATTGCATGGAAGATGGAAGGAGATCCTCATTATTACATGTGAGGAAAAAGAAAAAAAAAGTGTGTCATATTAGATTGTGTAGAGAGGAGTGATGGGAGGGGAGGGGAGGGAGAGGGGGAAAGGAAGGATAGCAGAATAAAATAGACATTATTATTGCTGTATGTATATATTTGACTGCATGACCAATGGGATTCTGCAACCTGTACAATCAGAAAAATGAGAAATTATACCCCATCTGATTCAAATGTATGCTATGTCAAGATCATTGTATTGTCATGTGTAACTAATTAAAACAAATAATAAAAAAGAAGGCTCTTGGGATTCCAGGATACCAGCTATGGCCCCTTCCTCCCTCTAAGGAGAAGTCTGTTACCCCTTTTTAAATAAATCCTGTTTTATGTGCTTGCTTTGGTGTGCTTCTCTAATGTTATATGTCAACATGTTAAGAAGCAGAACTCATTAATGGTATTACAGCCATTTGATCAATTTTAGATGTTCTAGTATAGATACCATATTAGTATTAAAGGCCAAAGGTAAAAATCATACCACTTTTAGTTGCTTGAGTATGAATATCACATTAGTATTAAAGTCAACAGGGCAATTAATATATTAATTTAGGTAAGATTATAGGAATATCATATTAGTTATTAGCCATAAAGCAGATATTATATTAGTTTAAAGTGCAATAGTATGGATGTAATGTTCATATTAAATGCCACAGAGCATCTATTTATCTGTTTTAGATACTATAATATGGACAATAAGTAAATATGAAAATTGACCAGGAAATTATATATATATATATATATATATATATATATATATATATGTTCATGCCCATCTCACATTTCAAAATGCACTGTCTTAACAGCCCCAGGGTCACCCAAAATCCAGGTAAAAATCTCCTCTGAGGCTCAAGGCAAACTCCTCACTGTGGGAGTAAAGTTCAAAACCAAGTTACAGGTGTCTGATATATAAAGGTGCAGAGTCAACATCTTCAATTTGAAGTTAGAAATGAGGCATAGAATAAAGGGATGGGAACAAAGTGAGACCAAAGTCCATCTGGACAAGCAGGTCTTGAAGCTCCGTGTCCAGCACCTGGGGCACATGGCATCCTCTGCTTTACCCACAGGGCTGGTGCCGCTCAGCTCCAGCGACCTTGCTGGGTGCAGCCTCATGGCCTCTCTTTCAGGGCTGGTCTCTGATGGACTCATGCAGTTTACTTGGCATAAGTTCCATGTTGCTGGCATCTCTTATTGGGGACTTTGCCCCTGGAGTTTCACCTTTCTTCTCACATCTCCATGCACTGGGCAGCTCTTATATTAGTTTAGATGTCATAGTATGAATATTGTATTAAAATTAAAAGTCACAGAGCACCCACTACATTAATTTTAAAATCTATAATATCTATATCATATAAATTATAAATGTTAGAAGAAAGCTATTATATTATTATCAGATACTATAGTATAAATTTTATAGATTATGAATATTATATTAATATAAAAGGCCACATAGAAGCTATTATATTAGTTTTAGATTATATAATATGGATATTAATTGGTATGAAACACCATAGTTCATACTATATCAGTTTTATTTTATTAGTTTTAGAATACATAGTATCAATAATATATTAATATAATCACCAGAGGGTAGCTATTATATTAGTTTCAAATATAATACTGATCACAAGTTCAAGACCAGCCTCAGTAACTGAGGAGGCCCTAAGCAACTCAGTGAGACCCTGTCCCAATTTTTGTTTTTAAAAAGGGGGTGGGGTGGGGCTGCTCAGTGGTAGAGCACTTGCCTTGCAAGTGTGAGGCACTGAGTTTGATCCTAGCACCACATAAAAACAAATAAAGGCACTGAGTCTACATACAACTAAAAAAATTTTTTAAAATGGGGATGGTGGTGGTGGCTGGGGATGTAGCTCAGAATTACTTTGGTTTAAATTGCCAATACCAAAAATATAAAATGACTGGGCAGCTATTATATCAGTTTTAGAAGCTATAGTTGGGTATCATAATGGTATTAAAGATTACTGGGAAGTTATTGTTTTCGTGATATATTCTATACTATGAATATCATACTAGCATTAAACACATTCTAGTAGTTATTTTATTATTTTCAGATGCTATGGTATGGATACTATATTAGTATTAAAGGCTGCAGGATAGCTCTTAGGCCAGTTTTAGATGCTATATATGGATGCTATATATGGGTATCACATTAGAACCAAAAACCACAGAGCAGCTATTATGTCAGTTTTCAATGCAATATTATGTTTAACATATAATACAAAAGGCCATAGAGCAGCCATATCAGTTTTTGATACTATAGGATGGACATAATAATAGTGTTAAACACAACAGGGCAGCTATTATGTTACTTTTACATGCTGCAATATAGATATCATATTAGCTATGAAGGCCACAGGGCAAATACTATATCAGTTTTATTTTTATTTTTTTGGTATCAGAGATTGAACTCGGGAGAACTTGACCACTGAGCTATATCCCCAGCCCTATTTTATATTTTAGTGAGAGACCGAGTCTCACTGAATTGCTTAGCACTTCAATTTTGCTGAGACTGGCTTTAAACTCATGACTGGCTTTAAACTCATGATCCTCCTGTCTCAGCCTCCTGAGCCACTGGGATTACAGGTGTGTTCACTACACCTAGCCCTATATCAGTTTTAGATGCTATATTATGGATATCATATTAATATCAGAGGCCTCGGAGCAGCTGTCATATCAATTTTAAATGCTATATTAGTCTTAAAGGACACAGGGCAGCCACTTTATCAGTTTTTGATGCACTTGTATGGATATCATATCAGTATTGAAGACCATGGAGCAGGAATTATATCACTTTTAGATGTAATAGTATGAATATTGCATTAGTATTATATTATTATATTAACTTGAAATTCCATTATTT